GGGGGGGGGGGGGGGGGCAGTTCGCGGTGCGAATACCATGGCCGTAGCTGTTTTGGTTGTTTAGGGACGGCCCATGGCGTCATCTCGACGACGCAAGCCTTGAAAAGCCGGTGTGGGTGCCTTTACTTCAAGGAGCCAGAGACGAGATTCAGGATGATGTCTACCGCTTGGCACATCAATGATATCTGCCACCAGGACGTCGATGACACGAGGGCATCTCAAATTGCCCGCGTCGACGACCAACGCTACGACACTTAAACGACTTCTTGTTTGCTCGCACACGATAGGTGTACGGGTCGGAGGTGGCGTGGGAGAGCACGACGGGCCTCAGCAACCGGGGTCGAGTGACGTTCGACGACAAGGGGGATGGGCGATGCCTCATGACGCTGACGCTGTCGTACAACCTGCCGTACGTAAGTCGTCGCCGTTCCCTGACAACTCAGCCTGCAGCCACCTGCGTGCAGGCCGAATCACTCTGTTTCGGCGAAGGGTCGCCGTCTTGTTGTTCCGACTGGTGTTGGTACTGTGAGGTGTGCCATGAACCCCTTTCCTGGCCGCGCCCCTCCTACGTAGTCTTGCAGAAGCAGCAGGGGGGACTTGAGAGTCGTTGAACCACACGGGTGTATGGTACGGGCCATGCTGGTCGATGTTGTCACGGGGTGGGTTCGTGCCCGGAGTCTTGAGCATGGCTACCGTACTGACTATGTGTATATTGTGGTTTCGAAGTAATCCGCATCTCACTGCTGTAGGGTTCTGTATGGATAGGCCACCTTATTTGTTGGGGTGGGGTTCTTACCTGTTGGACGAGGTGTTTCTTGGCTCTACGGATTTTGTGTGCGTTATTTGGAATGGCTATAGCTTCGTCTAGCCGAGATGTCGCACGTGGTTGTTGCCGTGCTGTTTGCTCTTGTTGGGTACGTCCATCAGATACTCTCGATTGACCCCCTCGCGAGCTGTGTGCCTGTCTTCTTATGTCTCCGTCTTCATAGGTGTTGTCATTTGCGCGGCGTGCCAATCCATCTACCGGCGTTGCAGGTGATAGCGTCCGTGCTGCGGCTGGAGGCCGTCGAAAGGTTCGTCAAGCGGACCATCCTCAGGTAACACAACGGCAGCAACATCAGCGGAGACAAGTACAAGCGTACAGAAAGGAAGGGCCTGGCTTTCTCGCGTATCGCCATTTGCACCATCAACACTCGAAAGATGCGCGGTGCATTGACTACCCTGGTCTGCTCATTACCGTTAGATCCTGACCCCCCCTCCCCGTCTGTATGTATGTCTGGTGACGCAGCTCGTTTATCCTTGCTTGGTAGCCGAATAGCACCCACCCACGAAGCAGCCTGTTTCTGCGAAAAGGTCGGGAATACACTGAAAATGGCAACGAGTATTGCCGTAGACGACAGCTACGAGCAGGACGTTAGCTGTAAGTCAAGAGGATGAGACCGTTGTGGCCAAAAACCAACGCCGCTGAGTAGGTTACGGAACCGATGAAGAATTTCTCGTGTGTACACTTGAAGCAGACATTTCCTGTGATAGGCGAGCGCCCGGATGTTTTTTCCGAGTCGCTTGCGAGTCGGTGGAGCAGCACCCCATCTCGAATGGCACGTGTGGAACAATGGTCCAACAAACCTTTCGGTTGGGCACCTGGCAAGAACCCTCATCCTTTGCACCCGTCTGCCGCCTTTTGTCCTGTTCGTCTCATCGCGTTGGCGCGGCTTTGTCACTGTACGGCTGCGTTTGCACTCTCTCACCATTGGCCACCTTCTTTCTTGGCTGGACAAAAAACGCGACGGATACATGTGAATGCGTCGATGCAAACAGCGACCTTGCGCGGTTCAAGAAGGTGTTGGTTCGGCAGCTGGAGACGGTGCCTGCCTCTCCTAGCACCGCTCCCAAGGAATCGGTCCACGGCACCCCTGGTGCTGTTGCTACTGCTGCTGCCGCTGCTTCAACTGTCGCCGCTCCTGCTACTTCCAGCGCTGCGCCTGCAGCTGCTCCTGCATCTACTGCTTCTGCGGTGGCCCCTCCTACGACGACACCTGCTTCTTCTGCCGCTGTCATCACCACCACTGCCACTGCTGACGACGCTGCTGGTGCTCCGAGCGTAGCCGCCGGCGCGGATGGCGTGGAATCAGAAGGCGAGGGCAAGGACAGTATTCGCGCTCCTGGGCGACGATCGCGATGGAGACGGAGATTTCGGAGATTACTGCGGCGAGATCGGGACCGAGAGGCTACCGCGCCTTCAGCGGTGGCGGCGGTGGTAGAACACGACGGATCGTAGGGCAGAACACAACAGATCGTGAGATTCTGTTTTTTTGCCGCCGTTTTGGCCGGCACTCATGTTGACAGTAAAGTGAACGGTACTCTCTTGTGTTAAACATATATTTTCTAAAAAATCGTGGTGCAAGCAAGCGAGTGAATCGATTGGTTTTTGTAGTATATTTTGCATATCTGTAAGAAATCGGCAGCTGATCTTGCACTTGGGCATCCGCGTTTATGCTGACACAACGATATGGTTGGACACATACACCCATCCTGGCTTGCGGCTTGATAGTGTATCCCCGCGTTGCTGCCGTGCTGCTGCAGCCCTTTGCGTGTCTTTTGTCGTTGTTCGACGAGAGGTCGGTGAGTTTGAGTAGAGAGGTCGGTGAGTTACATGCCTGTTGCGTGGAAACCCGGGGACGAAAAGCTCGACCAATGGGCAGAGACGTTCGCTGCACCCGCAGCGTGATGGCACCCAGTGGGTCGCGGCATTGTGTCGCATCCACGGCCTTTTGGCTGTCATTCCCACCACAGGGGGAGAAAACAAGAAACTCTTCACGGTGGGAATTCAGCTGAATGCACAAAAGTTATGATCGTTTCCGTCGGCATCGACGAAATCGTGTTTGCGGTTAGATATGCCTGCCAAAATTCATATTGAGCAGCGTTCTCCCGGAGGGTGCGTGTTTTTTTGCCCCGATCTGATAGCCCACCCCCGCTTCTACACAAAACAACACGATTTTTTGTTGATAGATCCAAGGTCAAAAACGACCATTCAGCGGGGGCTAATTTCTTGCTGTTGTCTTCCCATCCCTACATCATCACGGGCTTCGAGGGCGCAGGCAGCACAGAACGCAGTAGTGGAAGCTCCACTCTCTCATTTGAAGTATCTATAGACACAAAAACACATAATGCTGGGCATGTCCTGTACCCAATGTCAGCAACTACCACCGTACGACACGAAAAAAACTGGGGGTTGCGCCAAGTGCTCACCAGCGTAAGCGAAGAAGAGTGATTTTGTCTGAAAAGACGAAGACATCCGACAAAGCTACGTGAGGAAAATAAGCCGAGTCTTGAAAAATACACCTCCGATTTTTTCTCAATTTTTTTTTCGTCCTCCTACGGACTGGACGAATGATACCTTCGCGCGCTCATCACACTCCACCCGACAATGATATGCATATGAGCTACTTCTGTGCTGGCGCCCGCTGACCGGTTGGTCCACCTTCAACTGAGCAGGAGAGACAGAAACCGACTTGTTGCTGTCTTCACATAAATAAACCGTTCCGTTCTTCGCTCAGTGCCTTCTAGTATCCGTAGTGGTCCAACTGACGAGGACGCCTTCCGTGGTCACAAAGCCAGCTACCTGAAGACGAGACATGGGAATACCCTAAATTCAAGTGTACACGCGAGTACTCGATTAATGCTGATTGGTCACAGTTCCCGAGAGTAGAATATGCGACACTCTACCCAAGAGCTCGAGATAAACAACTCCAACGCCAATTAATTATCGTGCATCTTAAGGACTCGTTTCACACCTAGCATGGAGGCGCACGACGCCAAAACCCCTGAAGCAAGTACCTCTACTGCTTGCTTGTTGCCTCTTTTCCATGTCGATGCTACAGTATATCCTCTTTCACCTTTTTTGTTTTATGGAGTTCACCGGAAAGGAGTACAGCGACAACAGCACCTAGCGAAAGCCCAAAAAAATACACACAAAAACGCACGCGTTCTAGGATACAAAGAGCTACCTCCGTAGTATAGGGAGCCTTCATAAGATCTACACTACAAACCCAATATTTCCCTTCCACCACACTATAGTACATGCTGCGTTTACGCGGTCGTGGGAAAAGGACGGCAGCAGCTGAAAAGAATGCTGTCGATAAACTTTCTCTTGTAGGCACTGCCACAATCGCAGCATTTGCCACCTCACACTCACACCAGCATCCTGTAAGTGTCATTGAGCCTGTCTGCGTGTGCGTACATCCTTTGTTTTTTTTTTTCGCCGGTTTTATTTGAAGATGAGCTTGCATATTACACTGCAACTCCGTACAATCGCCATCAGGCAGACCATCCCTTCATTCACGAACTGCTGTTGTCATGTTGCATATTTCTACACTCCACTAAACAAAGGGTACATGGCAAACATGAAGAACTACCAGGGGGAGGGGGCAGAGAGGCCAAACATTCATCTTCCTACGCATACCATCACGTCCAACTGATTATTCCTTGTTTCCATCGGAAAAAGCACGTGGAACGTTAGGGTTGGTACATCAGACCTGGTCACGCCAAAGGAAACAAAAGGTATCTCAAAACCCCACCATAGACTCACGGCGATCGAATGATCCACTACCTTAACTTTCTGAAGACAAAAACGGTGGCAGGCAAGACACAGGATACATACAGTACACGCAGGGCAGCCCAAGGGATATGAGGGGTTCTAGCGGTTTTTGCCTGGCCATCACTGACATGTATATCATCATTGGCCAGCGGACTAGCGCGATCAGTGCTACCAGTATGTATTTTGTAATATAGAAAACACACATACACACCAAGGTCATGGCGTTGAGAATCTTCCTGTTTTTCAACAACCGAACTGAGACTGACGTCGTTTCGTTCGCCAGCTGATTAGCGCGGTCGACTCTAACAACGTAGACACACACACATCACACACACACGCATGTAAGATGCATTGACCGTGCCATCCGCATTCAGAAACAACAACATACACTCACGACGAAATGAAAGCAAGCGCGGATTTGTTCAGAGCAAATGGTCGCGCTCAGCTCCGAGGCTCGCTCAGTGCGACGATCGAGTGCGCACCGGGGATGTAGCTGCCATCGCTCCGGATATGGCACAAACATGAAACAAACAAATTCCGCACTACCTACTGCTGTAGACCCGGGTTCACCTGACAACACCAAGGTCAACAACAGCAACAACCTCCTAGAGACGCGACAAAATCAACCGCGTCTGTGAGCGGTTTCGAGCACCGCAGGCAGTCGTCGCGACTCGCATCCCCCTGTATATCCCCAAGAAGACCCCCCTGTGTTGTTGTTGTTTTCTTCACATCAATTAAACTCGTGTCAGTTGTTAATCCCAAAATCTAGCAAAGACTCGGACCGTGGTCGCAAAAATGCTTGAGCCATCAGAAGATCTGAAGAACACACACACTATTAGCAAGAAAAGGGTACACAAGCCCGAGGAGGTACACCTTCAATCCCTGCAGCACGTTTGCGTGCTCACAACTGAACTACACGCCCACACACTCAATTCGACTGTAGCAGCAGCATTTCCCCCCTTGTCCCGCATTTAACCAAAATGAATGCTTGTCGACTACAGGGTACTGCTGTCTGAAGTGCTGTCTGTACAACAATAACACCATAGTGCATGGTGCACACGCTCGGGGCATGCAGCTGCTGTCTGAAGTGCTGTCAGAATGAGTCCGTGGACATACAATGAAGAACACCCAACCAAAGCCATCATTGCAATTGACAATCACCCGAATCTATCCACATCATCTGTGTTAGGCACAGCAGTGTAAACATCGACACTGACTAGGAATCGTTCCACATTGCAGGGGTCTTCCACGATGCAGGTACACAATTAAGGCACCCGGGTTACCCGCGCCACCTCTGCCGCGTCTCTCTACAACACCAGTGACGTCATCACACACACCCAACACCTGTATTCAGGAAAAAAACGGAAAAATAATTGACTACACAAGAGATGTTTGTCCATGCGCCACGGTTCGATGCCGTCCGCATGCTCCGGTTCCGCAGCTCCGGTTCCGCTGCTCCGGTGACGCTCCTCCGGTGCCGCTGTGGCAAGCCCCAGCACGACCAAACTCGACCCGCTCCGCTTCGTACACGCTCTCGTTGCTGTCCTTCCCAGTCGGTTCCTCGCTTTCTCCCTCGGTGCACTTAGAGTTCTTGGTCTGAAAATTCTCGCGCCGACGGGTCAACCAGCCCAATCATCAGCTCGTCACCACCACCTGTCCCCTCCTCCTTTGATGGCAAAACCAGGTTACTGAGACAGTACAGCTCCCTCTAGCAAACCTAGAGCCGTGTACATAGTGCCCGTCCACCTTTCTGATGGCGTCTGCCTCCGCGCACAAAGATGAGATGGGCATTGCTGCCTACACCGACGGCCTGGAGGCCCGGGCATGTGCACCTTTGTACCTGACGCACCAGTGCCGACGCAACTCCACCTCTACGCACGCCTCGCGGCAGCAAGAAGGTATCGGTCCCTTGAGGGTGAGACTAGCCCTGCTCGCTAGAAAGACCCGCCCCCTCGCTATGGGTCATGCTTTCGCAAAACCTTGCCGAGGCAGCGAGGGGAAGAAGGGGAGTATATGTCCTCAAGAAGGGGGGTCTTCTGATGACAATACGGCCGTGCTTGGAGGCACATCTCCCGCGCCGCCAGCTACGCCGCCACTGCCATCACCGCCAGCGTTACGGCTTGCGGCGGTAGGCACCGTTGGAGGTGCGGCCGCCGCCGCGGTCTGGTTCCTGTAGACACCAGCCCCGCTCAACTCGCCGCCGCTGTTGCACCACACGTTCATGTCCGCGCGACAGTAGGGGCAGTCCACGTGGTCCCGCATCCAGATATCGATACACTATTTTTTTTTCGTGTGGAGGAAAAGGATCGAAACGAGAGACAAGGGGGGGGGGGGGAGGGGTATTGCTTGTTTGTTGGACATCCACTTGGTCTTGCGAACAATTGTGTAGATCCATCAAGCACACGAACAGACGCAGATCAAGAATGCATTTGTAGCATGGTGATTTTCTACAAAACAAGCCTTAACCTTGTCCTGCATCTGTTCGGGACGGGAAAAGAAGGGGTTGGGCGCGCTCAAGAGCCACAGGGACGAGTGGCGAGAAAAAGCTTGTCAGCGAACCGACCAAGTCGAGTCTAATTCGCGGAACAGTCAAACATGGATGATGCACTCGGAGCGCATGGTGAGCACATCAAGCGCCGAGACTGGGCATACAAACGTGCCCTCGAACTGCTGCTAAACTACATAAACAGCAATACGTAACCTCGTCTCCTTGCTGGCAACCAACCCCCCGACGAGCTTCCTTCCTGCTAGACACGGGGCATGCGAGGATCTACAAAGTGCCCTACGGAGTACCACATACAGCCATGAGTATTACTCCCCATCTCCTTACGTACAGACAATCGTGGCTGATGATGTCCACGCCGCCCCGCTACGCTAAAAAACAATCGGCTTACAGACCGTACAGCCAGCCATGAGTAAACCCCTCATGTCGCGATCTACACGCGTCAGTGGCGTTCAATGCTGTTCCGCGATGTCCTGCAAGCCGGCTTACGGGACAGCCATGGGCTAATCGTGCCCCTATCCTGCAGCCGTTGCTGAGACTGGAAGTATCGCCGTCACTCCGTCAGGACAAACAACGGAGAGAAAACGTTTCATCCCCTCCCAGACGCGTTGTGGCTGAGCTGTTCCCGCTGGCATCACTGACTTCTCAGAACCGCGAGGACTTGGTAAAAAACAAATAAGCTCCAACAAGTCCAATGCCCATCAGGTTTTCCCTCATCTCCCCCCCAACTGCTGTAAAGACTTGCTATCAGGCGCGCGTACAGCAGCACTCTTTTTAATATGTTTTTTTTCTTGATAAATTTAGATATAACACAATAAATCCATCTCTATCCATAGACGAGGGTCGAGGATTGGCAATTGATTCATAGCGTTAGCGGAGAACTACTATTTACCTGTCTTTTCCTGTGTTGTGTTACAATTTTTTTTTTGGTAAAAACAAAAAAATGTCAGCCCCGGGGGAGCTCCGCAACTGACCTCAGTGTGGTACAGGTGCCCGCACGGCAGGAGCGTTACCGCCTCGTCGACGTAGTACTCGAACAGGCACACCGAGCACGACGCGTTCAGCTCGGACGCGCGAATCACCTGCCGCCCGTCCCGCTCCAAGTATGCCGGCGGCGGCGGCGGCGGCCGTGGCGGCTGCCCTAGCTCCGCCGCATCAGGGTTGTTGCTGTTGCTGCTGCCTTCGTTGGCACTGCCGCTGACTCCTGACGGCGCTGCCGTCAATGGGGGGACCTGGACTTGCCGTCTTCGTTGCTCTTCTCCTCGACTTATCGGAGTCTCTTCGGTGTCGTTCGCGCCATTGCCATCGCTTCCCTGTGTGACGATGACGATGTTGGTCGTTTTCGGAGCGTGTCATGCAGGTCAGAGAGCGTCGGAAAGCGGAAAGTCGAGAGCGGTCTTGGGAAAAATAGCGTCCGTCCGCTCTGTACGGCCGTGGCATGCACGCTAGGGCTTGTCGTCGCAGCAGCCCTTTTAGAACCAAGGTTGTCCGGCTACGTCAGAGCCAGCAGGCCCTCATAGCAGCACCGCAAATTTTCAACCTCTAAACGAAATATTTTCTCCTACTAAAGAAACATCTTCAGGCGAAAGGAATATTGAACATGCTGCTTCCCACGGCCATGTGTGCCTTGCACAAGTGTTGGGGCGGAGGCGTCAAGGGAATCATGCGAACATAGGCATGCACTTCGCGTGTACATGCGCGTGTAGGTTGTGTACATGCGGTGGGTGGCAACGGATGCCTTCAACTCTTGCGGCATACCACACACCTGACCGCTTGACGGATCGTCACTTCTCCTTCCCCCGCGGTCCCAGGGCCATCTGGCGCGTCGCCTGCGGTCCAATTGAAACAAAAATAAAAAAGTGAAGGAAACGAAGTAATCAAAAGCATTCTTCTAGTCTACACACACGTATGGCATGGCGCAAAAAGAAAGTAATTACACCACCAAGCGACAAATGCCTTACAAGGCTCGGTCGGTATGGTAGGGTAGGATATGCAATACTCGGGTAACCAACCCTGGTATTGCCCTCGGGGAATACCTACACCAGAACCTTTTGGTGACTTGGTTCGACATCCAACTAGCTTTTGTAGTTTGTTCAAAATACCCCAGGCTACCAACGATTCTTCTTGCAAGTGTGTACATGTATATCTTTGCTCGACTGGATGTAGTGTGGAGAGTGCTACATACGAACGACAGCGGCAGAAAGACGAATTGCGAAATTATGTTTGCTTGTGCGAAAGCGCGTGTGCGTTTGTTTATTTCTTCCGCTGTGCATGCGTCCGCTGTGCAGAACCATGCGGGTCAAGTCCATCGCCTTGTTCTGCTACGTACGTCGGTGTTGTACATCTACAACGAGAAACTCACGGACGCGCATGCAAAACGGCGAGGGAGAGATGCGACACAAACAGAAGGATAAATAAATCTATACATCAATCTCATACACAATAAATTCGCAAGACTATTGACTAGACTATTACTTCTGGTTCGGTGAGGTTCGGTGGGCTCTCCGAGAGCCAAAATCACGTCAGTTGCGCGAGCTGTCGGGCCTGGGAAACGTCACAGCTGGCAGCTGGCAGCCTCTGACCTGCTGCCTCCTTCTGCTTCATCTTACTCCATCACCCATTGATGACGCTGCTGTGCTCTCCTTCCGGAGGGATAGCTTGCACAAAAACCTAAATGCATGGTACCAGGCACACATCCAAAAGAGGAGGAAGAGAAGACTACATCCACAACGCAACACCTGTCTCCAATCGCGTCACGGGGCCGGGGGGGGTGGCGCGAGCCCCTCACGCTCTTACCTCCCTTGGCTCCCCTTTCTCGACTCGCCCGCCCCTGCCGTCTCCTCCTCCTCCTCCTCCTCCTCCTCCTCTTTCCCTTCTCCCTTTGTCACCCGCGAGGGGCCCCGCAGGGACGAGGAGGAAGGGGACCCCGACCCCGACCCCGACCCCGACCCCGACCCCGACGACGCGCCACCACGGGGACGCTGCGTCGGGTACATCTCGAAGCCGCGACCTGCGGACCGCTCGCGGAACACTCCCTCCGGATCGTACTTGAAGTCCATGCACATGGCCCGCGCCTGTCGTGCGTGTGCGCGCGCGCGCGCGTGTGTTTTGCATTAGCATCCACCGCGCTAATCGGCTTGCCAAATGGAAAGACGTCAGTCTCAGTGGGGTTGAAAACAGAACACTTATGCGTGTGTTCGCAGCGCCGGAAGGCCAGGGAGGGGGGGCGCGGGGCAACAGCGACGCATGCGTGTGGCCTTCTGCATCAAAAGATCGTGGTCCATCGCAGAACTATCATTTTTCAATATGAGATATTTGATGGGACATTCAAAAACAGTTAGGCAAGGTGTTGGCAGCATGTAAACCGGTTGAGATCATCCGACTCGAAACGACATTCGTCGGTTTTATAAAGCGCTGGGTCACTACACACGTGTTCACTTTTGAGAACGGCGCCTCCACAGCGGAATTTAGTTTGATGGGTGCCCACGAACGGCGGCTGTTGCCTCCTGCACCCGACACCTGCACACCCGCGATACAGGGTATTTGGACTACTATGCTAGAGATGGTAATTCTTCGTAGCATCATTTTTCTACTCTTATGCACACGGCTCTTCTTGCGGTGTACTGTACTGCTTGAGTGCGTTGCTAAGAGGTGAGGATGGAGCTGTTTCCGAGTACGTACTGCAAAAACATGCTTTGTTAGTGGTCCTTCTCTCTCGCTCGTCCAGATGTGACGTGATCGCACAACATTACACCACGTAATGATGACGCTGTCGGTCTCTCTCTCTCCCCCCCTCTCTCTAGCTGGGATGTAGTCGCACGTACGCACCAATAGGTGTCCATATCCCTCCCCTTGCCGCGAATCGCACACCCAGACAGACCCCAAACAGTGCGCTCGTCGCACACTCAGCTTGGTCGCACCCCCCAACCGCCGTGCGAGCGACCTCACCTTTCTTGAAACCCCCCTTAACCGTACTCCTCCGGGATCGTCCACCGCCAACGCCCGAACCAGCTCCACGCCAGACAAGCCGGTCTCGCGAATCTGATCGGTCATTCGCCATTTTGACGGTTGCAGTTAAGGAACAAGAACGAAATGATGCACACGTTCAAAAAACGATCTGTTCACTCGTCCACGACGAGGGGAAGAGAACCAACCACCAACGCCATTTTTGACGGTTTCGGTTTAGTACATGATTGAACAAAGCTCTTCCTGGCGGGAGCGGAAAAACGCGTTTTTTATTGTTAAAAAATAAAATAGTCGTCGTTGCAACAAAAAAACGAAGCGATTGCCTCGATTGATTGCTCGTGTCGTTCGCCGCGCAAGGAGGAGCCGCACGTGTTCCGGAAGCGGCACCGTAGCATCGTAAACGCCGGTTTTCCGTGTACCTCGCCCACGCGAATTCACACGCACAGCATCGAGGCAGACTTGGAGGTCTACAATATTTCTACTAGTACAAAATCGTACCGTCTCTTCGGCCAAACAAAGACGACAGAAGCAGCAAGAATAGCAACAACAGCGCAAACCAGCTTTGGAGCGTAGGGAAACAGCAACCACCCATAACCGTGCTCCCACAAAAAAAAAAACTCCAACCCACAAGCTTTTCCCTGCCGTTTTTGCCTCAGCAGAAGGGGACGCAACGCACACTCCTAACAAAACGCCAACTGTTCCACACGACACCCGTCTCTCCTCCCTCACCGGACTGGTAAACCGCGGCAAGCTACGACCGTAACCCACATGCTTCACGACGGTAACCCACATACTATTCGACGGTAACCCACATTCTGGTACCGCTTGACGAGGACGTATACCAGCGAAACCGTAACAAGAAGGCAGACTCCCATCAACTTCAGGTCCTTCAGCTGCCACGCCACTGGCCCAACACAAGATTGACAGGTTGCGGGGTATGCATGAGGGGTTTACGTAACAAGATTGGAAAGTTGAGGGTATGCACGGGGGGTTTACAGAACAAGATTGGAAGGGAACAAAGGGGTAGGTGGGGGGTTGGTGGGGTTTCGTCACATGGGACGACGCGTGCGGGGGACAACCGGACCCACGAGCCAAAACCATAAATGAACGAGGCAAAAAGGGCGAAACCCAGCAGAGACAACAAAAACACCCCACGGGAGTTAAAAGTTGACGTGAGTTGTGGGACGTCAGGGGATGGATTGATTCACATGGTCTATTCCGAGGGCCGGCGGTGAGTACTTTTGGGGGGTGCATGTCGCGGTGAACCTTTGTACCTGTGAGTCGTTCTCCCGTACACCGTACCAGCAAACACATGTTGCTGTCGATTCCCGTCTTCGTACCGCACACCCAGCCGCACAGCTTGCTGCCAAAATACAAGAAAGAGGCCGACAAAGCTCCGAGCCAAAGAACAGGGCAGCAAGTAATCCCGCCATCCCTCCAACGCATCCCAAGAACGAAGAGTAGTTCTGGCGCGCAAGCGCCATCGCTCCTCGGCTTCACTAGAATCTTTGGTGTGGCCGCCAACTTGTAACATTTCACACCGGTAACCCTTGAGGTACTACACGCGTTGCCGTGCAAGAACTGCTTACCGACCACCTTGCAATTGATGGGCCGCCAACGTTTGACCTCCTGCACTCAGGGTGTTTATCCATAACTTTTTGTGACCGCCGAGTCGCACGACCGCTCACGAGCAGAGGGGTGGGGGGGAGGAGTCGCTAAGACATTTCACCACCTTCGGCCACAAGACGACGCTGACAGACAGAGAGGGGAGGGGGGGTGTTTACATCACTCCCATGACCTACCTTCCCAAAGCTGCGAGAAAATGAAGGCGACGAATCCCCAGACTAGCAACCCGGCGATGCGGCGACACCAAAGGGCCGCCACGTCCGCTCGGTGGTCTCGTACAGACTTTGAGGGACGAAAAAACAAAATAGGAGCGACAACCACAATTAGCAGCAGTGCAACATCGCGGAGGGGAAACCGAACACATTCAAGGGCAAAGCGCGCGGGGGGTGATATCACAGTCGTGCATGCCGTAGTCGTTAGACCATTGACCTCGCATCCCTACAAAGCCGGGACGGAGCACGCCGGGTTCTCACCGGACCAGGCTCTCACATCACCAAGCGCGAAGCGCCGTGAGATATTCGGCGAGTCGCATGAAGGGTGCGCTGCATCCTGCTAAGGGTTTTCGGCATCTTGTGCTTACTTCCTTGCGTACGGATGACAGCTGCGTATGACTTAATTTATTTTCTGGTGCTTTCACTTCCAGAGACAGTTGTAAGCACTGTGTAACTGCCTCGAGGGTGCTTGACCATTTTAACACAACGTGGTGCGATCATCCCCCTTGCGCGGAGTGAGGGTTCTCCACCCCGCACACCATGACCTACTCGACCACCATTCATGGTTACCGCCCCAAAAAAAAACGGTAACCTGGCTGCCGAGTTCACCAAGTGAATTGGCTTGTTTTACAACGTCGTTGCCAAGCGA